ATCCTATATCGAAGGTCTCCATTAGAACCCAATGTTCACCGATCACTTGTTCTTACATGTTAACATTATTTTACAGGAAGTTCCTCTGACCATGCCTTGGCCAATAAGGGCACTGCTATTATTATGTCTACCTCAAGTAGTCTACTCAATAGGGGAGTGTAAGAACAGTTCGTTGCCTTCTAAGTGTACTGGTGGGAAAGTCACTTGCCCTTCATGTATCAACATTGCTTGGTCGGGTTCAATGGCTAAACCTCCATATGTTGTCAAAATCAACAATGAAACAAATGGCGGACTTCTATTCCGTAAGTATTTCATAATAGATAGACTGAAAATGTGACGATACCGAACGAACAATTAACACGACATTGTCACGAATCCCCGCCCGGTATTCACACCATAACGGCTACAGTGCCRTAACGTAACGTACTTTTTACACAGGAAGATCTATTGAAAAATCAAATCTTACTCCCTTCATGGTACAATCTACACGTATAAAATGGACGTGTGTAAAATCAGAAGAAGACATAAATTGTAATCAATAATATTGATTGTTAGGGATATTCTGGACGATGATGTGGCGATGTTGTGGTCATAACTTTGGTACCACGTGTGGAGATTTTAAGCATACAACCGATAAAATGATCGATCCCAGCATAACCTATGACGTCCAGATGCCTTTAGTTGTAAACTTTAAAGAAAGTGGCCTTCGTTCTCAAAGAAACGTTGTTCCCATGCTGCCTCATACAGGTGTGGCGTTTGTAGTGCGAAGGGACAAGGTCGAGAGCGATTACTCCTTACAGCTTCTTTCTGCCGTCTTTGGTGCTTGGCCAGTGCTTGTCCTCACTCTTCTTCTGTCGGTATTAGCCGGGGTTATTGCTTGGGTCCTGGTAAGGAATCAATTTTTTGCATTTTGATTGAATTCATTTTCTAATCTAAATCATCTTGTGTTGCTAGGAAACTAAAAATCCGAATGAATTCCCACGGTCGTTTGTTATAGGAGCATGTGAAGGATTTTGGTGGGCATTCGTATCCATGACAACCGTAGGGTAAGTAGTATAGCTAGCACTGTTCTGCACTCAGCCCTGAGTCTTGATTTGATAATGAGATTAAAAAAGCCCCGTTGTATTGTCATATTATAGGTAGAAGTAAACCTAATTAATCAAAATATACATAATTAGTGTAACTGTTATAATTATACAATGAGCTAATTGACACCCATGCATTAGGTATGGTGATCGAGCTCCTAAATCACTTCAAGGTCGAGCATTTGCAGTTATTTGGATTCTAATAGGRATTTGTATTATCTCGATATTCACTGCTACACTTACTACATCGCTTACCACTGTATCACTGGAAAACAAGATCAGTCTTCCTGGCTCCAAGGTAACACATGCACACCATTATGTCCTAAAAATGAAAACAGGGAACGTGATGAGCGATSAATGCACTATTAGTGATACCAGCCGAKATATTGTTTACGATGATGATGTTGACATTGATGATGATGATAATAAGGATGATTAGAACTCTTACGTCACATTAGCAAAAGAACAATGACGTTGTAATGGACAGTCATTAAAATAACCTCTCATGTATTTAGGTTGCAACGTTACTCTACTCTATCGAGGCAATAACAGGATTCCAGCAACAGGCCGAAGTTCGAAGTAAGTACCATGTTGTTAAAGCTTGTTGTACGGAACGTTTATTGATGTTCTTGCTGATGTTTTAAGGATTTCGTACCTTTGAAGAGGTCATGGAGGCAATGGAGAAGGATACAGTGGATGGTAGATATCTATAGTTAATCTTGGTTTATGATGATTATATTAATGATAATGGTTTGTTTGTAGGTGCTTTACTAGACATAGTTATGTCATATCATACTATATATAGTTAATCATGGTTTATGATGATTATATTAATGATAATGCGTTGTTTGTAGGTGCTTTATTAGACAGTTACGTCATATCATACTACAGAGATCGTTTACCTAATTCAAAATACAAGGTTCAGGAAGTAATCCGTCAGGATACCTTGGAGTACGGTGCATTTGTGAATGATAGTACTCTTGCTGCTTGTTTAAAGCAAGCTCGTTACGCTGATGAAGCCATTATCTACGAGATGGTTGAACTTACTTTATCGAAATCTCTAGCGGTAAGAAAACKCAAAACGATTTAGTGTTTTTGTCTTTGTTCGAAGCTGTGGAGAAAGAACTAGGTTTCGCTGGATCTCTGTAGATGTTCTGCTCCCAGTATCGGCTGGTTTTCCTCCCTGAGTCAAAATCTAGCTGTGTGAAGTGTGCATCAGTGGGTTATTACTTACACAGTTATTTTTGTTTTTATAGAGTGGCGTAAAGGAAGGATCCCAGACAGCCCAGAGTGTGTTTGACCCAAGTAGCGATTTATTCAGGCGGACTCTGTATACTTGTGCTGGAGTTGTTGGTCTTKCTCTTATCCTTGGAATGATTTATGAGATCTGTAGATATCGGAGGAAAAGGAAAGGTTAGTACTCTGGTATCCTTAAAAATGCTTTACGTTCAACAACGGTTATTAATGTTAYCAAATATTTTTACCATCCGGTACCGTATGGTGCGCTGTAGTCTTCTAGCAAAAACGTTAATGTCTATAGCATGTTGTTGAGTTATTTCCTGGAAATATGTTGTTAGTAGTAAAATACTTTATATTGCTTTCAGCGAAAGGACGAGATAAGATGAATAACATCAACAGCTTGCGACCACCTCTTATCCACGAAACACGAGACGCAATGCTGGATGAAGTGGAGCGAAAACTAACTGATGAATTACATAAAGCAATTAATGCTTGGAAAACGAAACTGGACGGCAATAGTTATTTGCAAACWGATGAAATGATGTCATCCGTTTGATACTCATAATCGTATTTTATCTATCTACCCGCGCTGTAATACAGTCAACCAATTTTGTTACCAAGRAATTTTGCACGAAYATTCTTCACTGCCAAACGATGTCGGCTTGTGCGAATATTACACTATGACATCATTCATGACGTCAAGTTTTGCTGATAACGTCATTTTCTTCCAATATGCAATGACATTAATGACATCACTCAAATATGAAATCATACTGGCGTTACGTCATGCTCGTGACGTATGGAGTGTAAGAGACGGATTTCCTATGTAGTTCGAGTAACAGAGATCACGGAAGAAACCAGAAGATACGGACGAATATACATTCGATATACTTTATCGAAAGTGGATGAATTCTCAGGTTCAATGCAGCAAGCACGTGGACGCCATATCTCTATGCATTGATACAAGTCCTTGAGATATATGTTACCCAGGACAAAAGAAAGGAAGTTTCTTCAAAAGATAACTGTAAAATACTTTGAGTGACTAATATTTTGCTAATAGTTTATCTTATATGCACGTCATCAATTGTTATTAAACTATGTTAAGCTAACACTAGATAACGACCTGTAATCATATTGTAAGGAGTTTTATATCTAATGTAACCTTACCTTTACGGTGGCCATTTTGAATTAGGAAATGACAGGGGACCCGAACGTCTTTCTCGGATCTGATTATTGTCACTGTGGTTATCCTATCCCAGGATTTCTACGAGAGAATACCTGAATACCGTATTGGTATAAAATGTCAAAAAGATTACATAGAATAAGAAAAAATAAGCTTAAAAGCAACTCAGATACATTGACAATGAAAAGAGAAGTGGCTTTTATCCAAATATGGGATGTTATAACCAAATAAGGAAAGGAAATTTGGACAAGGCTAATTTAYTGCGGAATCAATACTTAGATCTTCTTGGGATTTTTACAATTATCATATTCACGATTCGTCGATCATAAGTCTGTGAAGCAGTGATGACGAGTATAGGTCGTTATTACCTCTATTGGTATATGTTTGACAGGGACATCTACTGTTAWAATAAGAATCACACTGTACCTTTGCAGCATTATAACTGGGTATGGTAGAATTATCGTAAAATATCGTTAGACCCTAACGTCTGTTATTGTCAGTTATCATATAGAAGGCATAGATCGATCTTTAGGATGCTCAATAAATCTTGTTTTTAGCAAAGGTAGCTTCATTTTTGTAAAAGTTCTGACCCCTAATTAACCGTTATAAGATGTATTGGGTCAAAAATCATACACACTTTATCATTTCATGGACKTATATCTCATTACWTGCTGCAAATCGGTGCTTTWAGCCACACGACAGTCTTTTCACTGGTTTACTTCTTTCATACTTTAGGTTGCATGTTAGAATTAAGAAATACCCTTTATATTATAGCTAGATGAATTGGTCAGTAAGTATTGATGTTCTTGTAACAATGATTTGATGTCAATAAAGTCATGAATAGTTATTGATATAACTAACTCACAATTATTCAATGATTATAAACACTTAATGTTGGGTTAACGAGTTTATTGTTATCATTAAATTATTGTATTACATTTATCTTGTGCAAACGATTTAAGTAACAATGCGCGTAAGAACTAGGAAACTCTCTGTTGACATACGAATGTCTTGTTTTTCACACTGATTATATATCAACCTATGGGTAACACATTTTTGAAATAAAATGTGGATAAAATCTGTTTTGAAGCAAAGTTTCTTTTGTATTAAAAGATCTTGTCCAATCATAAGCACTCAAAACAATAGCCAAAAGATGCTTCTAATTTGCTATAGTCCCCACATAGAATTGCTATTAATATTGAAGCTAAGAAAAGCTTTCATGAAGTCGGAATCAGATGTTAAAATATTAAAAAATGCGCTAACTTGTGAAATTATGTCAGATTTTAATGTTTTAACCAATGAGAAGGATGGATTATACAATACACAATTAGCACCTTGCATTCCATTGCCGTTTGCTTCGCTAGTTCTTACTCGGACCATTACTTCAAAGCTTCGTCTGCTTCCTGTATTTCTTTAACACAACTCAAGGTAAGTTAGCTGTGTCCTTGTCTCTAATGAAACAGCTGTGATAGCTTCTCAAACAATTATATTTTTTACGGTGTTTAACACAAATTTAGGTAAAGATAATGATTATGCATTTCACTACGAATAAACAAACCATAATATACCAGTCACACAATTACTGGAAAAGTTTTAAAATCTCGAGTAAGTAACAAAATCGACAAGAAATTGATTAACGCTGAAAGTAAATAGTTTATAATTTACTGGCAATTGGTACACGACAACCTTGTCAAGAAATGCTGTATGTGGAAATAAACAAAACTAGATTMCATGCTATAAATCTCCTCACCATATTATGGGGTTGATAAAACTTCCCCTGCAGTGAAAACTAAGATATATATAAGAGACTGACACACATATRCAAGCTAGACATGCAGCTTTTGTCATCTATCAGCATGCAAGAGTCTTGATTATGGTACGGATCGATTGCTGAAAGTCGACTTATCATCATCACAGAAGCGTAGGTCGTCAAGAGTTAGATCTCCGCTGTCAGATGGACTTTCYTTCCTCATGTTTTCGCCATCATTGATTGAATAACTTGAAATATTCTCATCTTTAATGTCAAATACACTGCTTGCAGAGCTTCTCGATGGGGCTACTTTGCTCCTGTTCAAAAACACACTCAGTAGTGAAGGACTTCTTGATGTGGTCGGCTCGCCGCTTTCTTTCTGAAAACCACTGGCCGTGGAAACCTTTCCCGACATGTCCTCCTCTATTATATTTTGGACATCATTAAAATGGTCACCGCCTTCTGGTGAACGTTGTTCTCTTTCACCAACAAGGATGTTGATTACTGATCCCATTCCTGATGAAGCTGTACTGCCTTCTCTCACAAACCCAAAATCTGAGGAAACCTTTCTTGACCTGTCATCTTCCATTTCACCTTGTACATCAGTACTTTGATCATCTGTTTCTGATGGACGTTCTTCTGTTTCACCAACAAGGATGCTGATTGTCGATCCCCTTCCTGATGCAGTTTCACTGCCTTCGTCGTCTTCAACACTACTTGCTATTGAGACTTTTCTTGACATATTATCTTCATCTTGTGCATCCATTTCTAATGAGCTTTGTCTACTCCCAGCAAAGAGGAGACCGATTTCTGAGCTCCTTCCTAATGTGACTTCATTGCCTTCGTCTGTGGAAATCTGTTTTGGCAAATTGTCTTCATTTTCACCCTGAGCATCACTAATTTGAGAATTTCTCCCAGAAAAGCTTTCTTTGATCTTCCCAATGATTGAGATTATAGCTGAACGCGGCCTTGGTGTTGGGCTACTGTTAGCATCAGTAAATACTTCGTTCTCTTCTTCATTCAGCTCCYCTTCACTTACAGTGGACAATGTATCACTCTCTCCTATAGATGTACCACGCTCAGAGTACGTATAGTTATACTCGCTGGGTCTAGAGTCTATCCCACTCATCAACGATCCAGCTTTGATGAATTTAGTAAACTCTTTTTCAGGCGTAGAATTCACATAGTTGATAAGGACAGGAACACCATCAAAGAATTCGTCTTCCAGGTTCAAGTCATTGGTCTTCACAGCAAACCGTATCACTTGATTAACCTTTTCGCTGTTGCTGGATTCGATCCAAATTGACGTCCGAAGATCTTCGTCGCCTAGTGTCCTCATATAGTTCATTATCGCGTCTGACTTGTCATTKATACTCTCTACTTGTTTGTCCAGGACGTCTTTTGGCCATTTGTACTCAGGAAGAATGGGGGGTTTGGAGACWATTCCCACCAATGATTTTACTCTTCCCAATATGAAGTCCACAATCTCATATTCATTTGATTGCCTGCTGGAATCTGATCGTACTGTGTTAAAACTATCACAGAGAATTCCAATGAACAAGTTSACAAGGATAAATTGGACAGACACCATGAAAGTAAAGAACAAAAGTGGGCCTATTATGCGATGGCCTTCTTCCATAATATGATAATTGAAGTCTCCTAGCATCATGCTGAATAAAGACACCGCTGAACGGATGATGGTTCGATACTCTTCTTGGGTTTGTCCAAAYAYTAAGTTCGATAAWAAACAAAATRCCAACACGATCATGATTATCATGACGACAAACGTGAAAAGTGTGTTCGCTGAATGTCGTAGTGTGTCTGAAAACATAGAAACCTTTCGGTTAAATCGCAGAAGACGAAGGAACTTCAGAGTACAGAGCAGGACAATGAATGCAGTTAAAGCGTTCAGTACTTCATTTAAAGTGACAACGTACTGGAAATTGACAAAGCGATCTCGATCTTCATGGAACTGGTTAATGGCAACGGAAATAGCAAAGAGACGGGCAAAGTAGATTACAATTGCAGTGATTGATAATAAGGTGATGACTGAATCGACAACGTTCCAGACGCTCTTAAAATATTGTCGAGGGCGCTGTTTGACAATTTTTTTGCAGTCACGATAAATCCAGTAGAAYGTTAGAAATAGGAAAATTATTTCAAATCCCATCACTGCCTTTGAAAGACCACTGAGATAACGGAACAGTTTAATGGTTTGGATGTTAATGCTGTAAACACCACCGGTGCTGGGTAAAAACTCGTACAATAACGTGATCACACACAGTAAGTTTATATCAACATTGTAAACATTCAGCTCGGTAAAGATGCCACGAGTATACGGATCGATCCAATTGTCTTTCCACAATGTCTTAACATTRTCAAAGACAGTTTTGTTCGTTGGACCYAGATCCACAACATATCCTCCTCCACGATATGTACCCATTTTACCAAAGTATGGAAACCCCTTGAGGTCCCAAGAGCTTCTATACTTCCAAGGTTTATGCTGCTCAGGCGAAGAGACAATGGTATCATTGTAAGGTTTCCATCTTGGATTGAAGCTCTTCGTTTCTTCATTTAACCACGAGTACTCGTCGTTACATTCATTAATGTCTACTTTGAAAACCGTTGGTACCTCGCAGGTATCTGGGATAAAGACATTAAGATATTTTAATATATTAATATTAATATATTAAGATATTAAACAGATCTCTCCGCTACAATGTGTCAACATACACTTACGTTTTTTGTTTCTAAGCTGACGCAATCGGCCAACTCCCACAATATTGGTTCCCTTTCCATTGTGCATGATGTCCATATATGGATATCCTAAGCGGGAATCCACAGGATACATATTGGGTAACAACACTGATTCCGCCCATTGCCAGAACTTATCGTAGTTTGTTATCTATAAAGATATATAAAAGCTACAGTTTCGAGATCTTATTCAAGCAGCTTTAGCCTCAAAAGCGCTTAAAATATTCTTTTGTCATATCAAAGCCCTCTTGTAATTCACGACTTTCCATACTCAGGTTCAGTGACCACGAACAAAGCATTGAACCGAGGCGAAAAGAAAAGATCTGTGCGCAGTGTACYTTGACGCCTCGCTTCAATGCTTAGTCGTGAATACAGAATGTCTTTGAAAGTTTGTATGCAAKTGAGGCTAAGGCAGCGAAACTGGAGAGTATTGATTGATAATGATGAATAGGAATAAACCGCATCTTAGAATAAGTATTGCAGTTGAGAAGTCATACACAGAACAATCAATAGCTACCAATTATCGACAATAGTTAAAAGGTTGGTAATAATTATTAATTGATATGCTACTTACTTTATGAAATGGTCTGTTTCCATTTGTGAGAAGGTGAGTGACTTGATTACTGAACATAAAGCTCTTATTATCATGATTAGCGAAAGCAACAAATAACACTAGAATCACGACCAGGAAATGTAAGACAATCTCATGAATAATGGCTGACATCTGCTTCTCTTTCAGACGAAGAGCACGTGCTTGTTGCAGTTTTTCTTCAGCAGGAGGTTTACTAAATAAAGCCTTCTTTAAGGAGGTGACTTCATCGTCATTCAATAATGATCCTATTAAGATATTGAGTTTACAGTGAATGCAATAAATCCGTGAAACAGATATTACTAATTACTACTAAATAGTGTTGCACCAAGATTCAAATAATTTTGATTTATTAATGATTTTAATTGATCTTATTAGTTCTACTTTCTTCAGTAAATCAAGTTAACAGCACTTAGATATATAGATAGTACTAATTAGAACGAAACAGCGTGAAGTACATACGCCTAACGTTGTACAGATGAATGCGACGAGCATATTTACCTGTGTGATTATCATCCAGGGTCTTATYTTCGTCCAATTCCTCTTCTTCCTTATTTGGGTCTTTTATAATAAGCGCAAAGAAGGTAGCAAGCATAAGGACCTTGGCAGGCTGGATAACCACAATAGATTGGAACAACGATATAACCATAGCTGACAGCCATTGCTCAGACTTGTCTTTGCCAAACATAATTCCGTAAAAAACAGTAAAMGTGGCACTGACTAGAGTGCTCATAAAACACAAACCATAAGCAACATAAATGAACCAGTATGGAAACAARAMCTTTTTTGGGGGATCCTTGGATTTCTTCTTTGAGAAAAAACCAAAGAGACCATTCTTGGGTGGAGAGTCCTCGTCTTTCTCCTCGTCCTCCTCATAATTTGTCTTCTCTTCTGCTTCAGCCTTAAAATAATCAAACAATCTTTTACATAATTACAACAAGTACAGAGAAATAAGTTGGAAAAGGTTGGAGTTCTAAATAAGGACATGGGTTCAACTCACCTTAGGTTGGTCAAATGACRTAACTTCATATTTTTTCTCCTTGTTTTCTTTTGGTGCAAGTTTGCGAAAGATAGTAACCAGAAGAACGTTGACAGGCATGATGATTACACTACTTTGTACCCCTATCATAATAAGACTCCAACTGAATTGAAAGGGACCAAGGCTGAAAGTCGTGTCCTGAGAAATACCACCACCGCCTTGAAAGAACATGGCATTGGTCAGCATTGTACAACACAGGACGGACAGACAACARGACAGGCGCTGGACACGGGTAAATGTACTCTGTACTGGTCTTGTGTACACTGACAACCATAGATGACCATCAAATAGATTTCTTCTTGTRGCATTTACAAAGAGAACATTGAATTGGGTAAGGTCGCTATTGGTTGCTGTCTGGAATCATTAAAGCAAAAAATTGATTAACCATATTAGATCAAAACCTAAAAAGCAGTGTTTATAAATACCCTTATTGTTCTTTCAACTTTTCCATCGTCTTCGTCGACAGCCAGCCACTTATTGCACACAAACCACCACTTGTTCTGTGTCTGACAGTCTCKGATCTGCATTCTGAAGAAAAACCAACCAGGTGATTTACCTGTATTGTTGTGCCAAATGTGAATCTCACGAAGATCACCCAACGATTGTGGAACGGTGAATAAAAATCTGCAAAATATTAGGTTTAGAAATTATTTTGAAGCTACCACATCTTTTGGTCAGGGATTGTGAGAGCATCATAGGAAAGTTATACTTGATTCCGTAACTGAATCATAAGTAGTTCTGTTGACAAAATTATTGATTGCATAAGGAGCAGAAGTAGTGGAAAAACTGTAGTGTACTTCTCAGCAGCAAAATAACATCAATAGATTAATACCATCGCTTGTCATTCTCAGCTACCTGTCAACTCCTGCTCTCTGAAGNATTATTTTACTACACGACAGTTTTAGGTTTAGAAATTATTTTGAAGCTACCACATCTTTTTGATAAGTTTGGTCAGGGATTGTGAGAACATCATAGGAAAGTTATACTTGATTCCGTAACTGAATCATAAGTAGTTCTGTTGACAAAATTATTGATTGCATAAGGAGCAGAAGTAGTGGAAAAACTGTAGTGTACTTCTCAGCAGCAAAATAACATCAATAGATTAATACCATCGCTTGTCATTCTCAGCTACCTGTCAACTCCTGCTCTCTGAAGAGTCGGTCTGGTAGGGTCTTTAAGGACCCTTGGGTCACTATCACCTGATGATCCCAGTAATTGCAAGTAYACATCTGCCGTGGTCCCGGCTTCCTGGTTAAACCCAGTATACACGGTGATTTCGTACGCTATGGAATCACGAGGGTCGTTATCAGGGAGAACGATGATTCCAGTCTGTAAGAAAGTGAGAGTGAAATGATGGATAAATGGGAATAAAAAATAATTTTATGAGAAAGAATGGAGTCATAAGATAAGAGCAGTAATAAATTGGAAAACAAACAAAAGGGAAAATATCTCGTAATGACCTTTGCAGCGTCTTTCAAATCAGCTCTTCTGGCCCAAATAACCAAGAGTATGTACAAACCAAATATAGACGAAACAAAAGCCAAGACTGCYGGGTTATTAGAAATGTCACTTAAGCCTTGGAATACTGTATCAAAATTGATAGGGTTAGGAGCAACAAAAAAGCCACCGCCAAATGATGTCAGATGATTACACAGACAATGTACACCTCTTTCTGTCGTCTCTTCCATAACCTGGAAAAATAATACATAACGTCATATAAAGTAGAATAAAGGCCTTAATGTCTCGGTATATGCTTAACTGCATACCTCACAATTATCTCCTTTCCAAATCTCCTCAACTTCATCCCAGTAAGTACAGGCTCCAATGAAGGTTTTCATACTGTAGTTAAGATAACCCGTGCAATTTTCCATTACTTGGTCTTGATTTCCAGGTTGTATGTATATGAAGTACGAGCCGGCAGCAGTTCGATTCAATTGTACGTTGGATATGAARAAAGAATACTGATCTGWACGACTGTCATTTCGAGGCAGCATCCATTTGTAGTTATATTCATTTTTCTGTATTGTCACATTGATAGGTACACTGCAATTGATAGGTCGTATAATACCATGTAAAGACGAATCGTTTGTGCTTACAAACATCTTATGTCTAGATATCTCATTGGCCTTCACGGTGAAARACTGGTTTCTGGTAYCTTCTCCMTGRTTTTCTATCGTAATGTGTATTCCAGTCGACAGTGAATCAACTTTTAATTCTTGACCTATTTTAGTGYCAAGGCTCAGAGAGATGACGTCTGTACCCACTRATGACGCAGATTTACTGTACATAAACGGGTTGGAAGTATAGGACATCTAAAAATAATAGAATAAACTCAAAATAGAGTAATATATCTTATTCAGAAGACTCTTRTATATCTTATCCAGAAGACTCTGTTTGACTATCACATTTTGCTCTGGAAGTTTAATCCTCTCAATGATCCATCAATAGAGAAGGACACTAAACAATATGATGTGAATATAAATTATAAATATTACCTGTAAACGAAGTGGATCATCCTTCGATAGAGAAAGAGATGACTGAAATACATCCATAGAAGGAAGTGAGAAAGAGCTGTCTTTAAGTTTAAGCGGTTCGTTGGCAAGATTATCAAGCTGTCTAATACCCGCTAGCATCGCTAAGTTAGGAGTACCAATTTCCTGCAAAATATGGCATAAATAATAGCACTGAGAATTAGGAAATATGCTGATGATATCTGAAATTCCACAAATGATGATGATGCGATGATAATAATATTGATTCAAGATGATGATGATAATGGTCTCCATGACTTACTGTATAGTTCTGTCCCATCACTACGCTAGACAACAACAAATCAAACGATTTCTTCAACGATTCCATAAGTGATTGACTTAATTTCCTTGCCTAAATAAAAATACAAGATTCTGAATTTTACTGAAATACATAATTTGTAAATAGGCATAATTTACCTGGGTTACACCATCGGAGGAACTAGCGACCGATGCATTCATGGAAGAGCTTCTCATTGCATTCCCTTAAACGAAAACGACATATTAAACCAGTATCAAGCAAGGCAGGAAAAAGAACAAAGCAAAAAACAATCAAGGAATGTCATTGTCACTACATTGAAGAGATTATATACCTAATCCTGCAACTATGTTGGTTGTAGCAAGCTGCAGTATTTGAACATCAGCTAAGTTCCTGCTTTTCATTAGTGTGTTTAACATCTTGTCGATGASGGATGCAACGTGCACCTTGAAACCAAACAAATAATAATTCATTCAAGTTTATTCAGTATGTTTTGTTCATATTCTTGATGATATCCAGCTACCAACTAAATAAGGTTTTCAGTTATTTATTGTGCCAACAGCTTGTATAAATGCATTTTCAGTGTCTGGTATAACAAAGAATGAATTTAAAATCGATTATACCTGTCCTTCCGATTTCAGCAGACGGGGATCTGAAGTTATYACAGAGACAGCAGTAGAAATGGATAGAACGTCGTCGGGCGTGTCACACGGTAGCTCATGGGCGATATCTACGAACATCGCTATTTGCTGTTGAAAAGTGGATTAAGRTTAGTATTAAAAATCGATAATAAYTATTTCATTCATTCATCTGTTCATTTCCATTTTTCTTTCCTTCCTTTCAATGTGTCATTCACATTTACTTCTTTATTTCATTCGCTTTTATCTAYTTTTTGTTTAGTTTTCTGTTCCGCTGATTTTCGTGATGTCATACCTTTRTTATAACTTCCAACGCGCCTGTATCATTGCCAGCTTCATGATGTGAACYMAAAACCACTGAAGCGACAGATATGAGCATTTGTGAAGCCATTTGAGTATCGCCACCCAGAATATTATTCAATAACGGACCGTTGGAYTCCAGTGCAGCCGTTATACCCATCAATACCTCGTCAGACGATTCGACCTGAAAACCAGCAACGAGGCATTCAAACCAATGCCGGATATCATCAGGATTCAGACGAAYAACTCATATAGAATGATTTGCTTAAAAAGTCATCCTTTGTCAAAGGTACTGCTATAACTTGGTGGATAAAATGCTAGATTTTTTATCATTACACAAGATATTCAGTGKTTTGATCGTGTTATTTGCTCAGCTCATACAAGCAACACACGTTAATTAAGATAATGACAAATGAACAACATGTTGGGATATACTATACCTTTGCTTTTAGTCTCGATRTGTTATAAGCCCCTCGAATGTCAAGAATCATAACCTCAATGTTAACCTCACCACTTTTAGCATATGGAAAGAAAAAAGGACKATCCAGTAGTCGACCTGTAAACAAAAACTGATCCACTGTGGACTTAAGAATAACTTTGTAGACGAGAAGATCTTCATCTATCCATCCATAACAGTCAATAAAGAATGGAGTAATAACCGCAGAACCACTTTCAGGTGAGATAGAACATTGACCATCACGAGGACTTCTGTTAGTCGTGAATTTCATTGAAACGTATCCCTTGGAATGTTTTTTTCCTGTGAATGAAAAAAGAGCCGATCTTTATCATCATTACCCTGTCAGTTTGTCGCAATCATCTTCTTTRCTAACTACTGTCATCACGGACTACATGATCATTTTTAATAGCATCACGTGACAATCTTGTTACCTCAAACATCATATCAAACAACATCTTCACCCGTATCATAGCCTACACCATTATCAACATCATCAACATCATCAACATCATCAACACAAGAACAACACAAGAAAACCATTAATATCATCAACATAAATCAACATTGCTAGTTGATGTAGATAACTTACCTCGTACCCATGCCCGGAAAATTATTTCATACAATTTCCCTCCTTCAAGAGCTCCACTTTTGAAAGCAAAACTACCATGGCTAGTGCCAGTCAATGTTTTGTCGGTGATATCCATATCTGCTCCTTCAGATACTACAGACCATTCCATATATAGATCGCTTATATTGAAGTTATCAACATGACCCTCGAATGATATGATACCCGATGGATTGAAGTGATCACAATTCACTTTACACCTGAAATTCAAAGCTGAATATCAGTCACTTATAATACATTTTAAGGATACATTCGTTGAGTCTGTTACTTACGATATCTTAGGGTTRGGAAGTGGTCCTTCTAAAAATTCCACTTGTTGTTCAAAAATTGCAGTTCTGTCTCCTCTGGATGCAACGGCTTTTAGAAAACATTTGGTGTTTGGAGGAATATTACTAGCGTCATAGCGAAACCATGAATCAAYAAACGGGAGTTTTCCAAATGTATACCCAAAACAATTGTCAGCTTCCTTGGCGCTGATTCCAGTAGAATACGATGWACTGACATGTCCTGACTTGGTAAACCAAACCCATTCTACATCTAGTATAAAAACAAAAACACTAAGTCATTCTACTAGAAGATTGTCATCCAAGGCAAATCCAACATACCATTTTGCACGTCGCCAAGTTCAGCGTCTGGATCAAAGAGATTTGCATAAACAATCCTTTCTACCGTAGTCTCTTCACTTCGCGAATGACCTCCATCTATAATAACCTCCAGATCACTCGGCAAAACATCGAAGAAACCCGTACTAGCTCCCATGACATTGCCAGTAATTTCGTGAACCATTCTCAACGCAAAGTCAACACGAATAGTTCCTAAAGGAAGCGTGCCATTGGTRATAATTAACTTGGAGGTATTTACTTTCCAGGAAGGATGGTACAGTYGTGAAAAATTTCCTGGACCATGGTACTGAGAAACATTCCACTGGAAAATAGTCGCTCTTGAAGCTTCGCAATCGATGATATTTTGTGTGAAGATGATAACTGTTTCCTTTCGTGTTTCATTTCTTGTACTGCTCTTATTCCCAAATTCACCAACACCATCAATCTTAACGACTGGCTTTCGACATGGTTTGTSAAGAACAAAGATCGCTTTGCTWGGTTCCACATGCCGAGAAACTGAATTAGCAGCGTTACAACTGACTTGAAGCTCTCCACGATTCACGAAGGTATGCACTACGCTAATATTTCCTKTAAATGGRCTTACCAACTTGTAATTGTTACCAGGAAAGTCCTTTTGCATTTCGTTTGTACCAAGAACAACAGATTTCCCATCACCAAATGTCACTTCCACAGTTGTGAGAAAGTCGTGGTTGATTACTTCAACGGTCATTTGAACAGGTCGCTTCGTAAGATAAGGCGAGTTCTCGTGAATCCTACACTTAATGCTTGGCCTGCATTCATATATCAGAAAACTTGATAAAGATGAAACATCATTAAATGCCTCCAGTGTAAAATTGTACTCTCCTTCCTTCTCACACGAGTGCTGCATTGTCATAACTTTATTGCTAGTTAGAATTTCAGTCCCATTTCCTGGTCTCCATCGTAGGTTTGGTCGTGATCCATCCATACGGACAATTTTCAAATGAAAAGGACATTCCAAAGGCACCATGTTGTGAGACTTTCCACCAGGAAGTCGGCCGAACATTGGATCACACTTCGAACGTTCTATTTTCAAAATAATGACTTCTATTGGCTTCTGGATTTTTGCTGTAGTGTTTAGCACCTCGCTGGACAATTTGTTGGTCACATTTACTTTTACCAGGAAGTCACCTTCGGTGAAATATCTAAAGAAAATTACAAGCAATCGATAAAGCGTGTGTAGTAGGGTTACCATTCTAGGATGGGAATGCTTGAATACGATATAAATGCCTGTAAAACATATCGGTCCCGAGAGGTGGATTGACATTCCTTTCATTCTGGGATAAGTGCGTAGAGTAAGACAAGCGTCTATTTTAGACCCTGAGTACTCTTTCACTGTTATAAACGATCTTTTCGTYTCAACGTCAAGAAAGCATGATCTTTGCATCGATTTATTACTTACCTGTGTGAGAAATTCATAGGCAAAACACAGTCTTCAAGGTGATGTTTTTCCTGGTCGCCAAATTCAATGAGACAACTAGCATTAGTTGGGGATTGATAGCCGGGTGGCATAGAGAGAGTAAAGTTGATAATTCCATTCATAACCACTTGAGGAGAGTCTGATTTCAATATGAGATCTTTGACAGGGTGCATACAAGTGAAGTTGGAATACATGACCACTGAACCCAAATTATTGGTACAGTTGGCAATCATTTGTGAAACCACAGGTTTATGGCACGTCAGTTCACGGTATAAARGTATTCCTGCTTTTAACGGTCCTTTGTGTCGTGGATAGCCCTCAATCCACCAATCATAAGTAACGCCTGTTCCTTTCTTTATCGATAAAAATGCTTGAAAGRTCTTTCCTACAGCGTTGATACACTTCGGCTTGCAATAATYGAACCTCATTTTYATGATAGGATCAACAGCGTCGAATTGATGAGAATCACATGTCTTCGGAGTCACTTTATTCCACACACAGATKTCCAAAACATAATTCCCAGCCTCCAAGGTTCTTSTYKGGAATAYCACATAAGCTTCACTRCATTGTACATTACTACAATTATAAGGAATACTTGYGTCATTAAGTTCCACTGAGTAAGTTGCATTTGACCCTTTGCCAATCGCAAACGTGAAAKTTGTTGTATAATCGGTTCTGATTGCCTTGGGTTTTGGTCCTGTGATGTTAAACTCTTCAATAGGTATCTCGACAAAAACCAAACATTYCACTGTTGCATTGCTTAGCGCATTTTCTCCRAACACTGTAAGATTGAACGCACCAAGTACTGGAAAAGACAAGGTCCTGTTGAGACTGTATGGTTTAGGGTATTCTGTGGTAATTCCTAGTTCCTGCTTGATCAGTGAGCCATTYAAAGTAATAGAAGCATTCATACTGTCCCCTTGACTAAACAAGGCTTCAATAAGGACAGATGTATTATGCACGATGCCTTTCCAACAGTAGTTGACTTCCGGTATTCCTACTTGTCTTACAGTTTCAATCTGAAAACGCCTGGACCATGTGCTTACCTCATTTCTAAGAACGATAGAAACGTTATACACTTGCCTGGTTTGAAGGGTATGAGTTGTTCCTGGTTGATTATTACTAAAATGTAATATTTTTTCGCTTCCAAAATCAATACGTCCTCGCCAAGGCGCTCCAGATGCTTGGATTTGAACATTTGTTGGTGTTCCTAAAAGGCTGGTTCCTGGGATAGTAATGTTGACCTTGTTTATTCTTTCAATGACTTTCACCTTGACTTCAGATTCTACATTCTCTGCATGATTTCCTGTCATGTTTGATTTAATCTCTTTAGATCCTGGATTMGAGAACGAGTAGACAACCTGGTGGTTTATTTGTTCAGACAGTAAAAACTGTACTGCAAGTYTCAGTTTGGTCTTGGGCTGGGAGRCATTGAATTTAAATGGTTCGTCAAKAACGGCATCTTTAATGGATGGATAAATAGAAATTGTTCTAAAATYACTTGATTCATTCAGCGTTGCAACTGTTCCTGTAAGTTYTGTTTGATCCATAACGATCACATCTCCCTTCTTAACAAATATTCCACTGAAGTTCACACCRAGAGGAATATACTGATATCCTTTTGGTAAATGCCGGCTGATTACAATATCGTGTACATATTTGTAATCACTTAAATCCAATTCGTACATAGATGACGTGCACGTACCATTGTACAGGGAAAACAATTGTGCTGACGGACACTTTATCTTGTTTGTAGTAGAAGTTGGACATTGCGTCGAGGGAGTAGTCTGCTCTTTACGAATAATCTGAAATAAACGAATTTTCAGTTATTGATAAAAACATTATATTTATATAATTTATATAATAAAAATAGAAAAATTATATAAACATTTCGAACGCGCTGCCGGGTGCTCTAGTTGAGTAAAAGATTTGATTTTAAGTAAAGTAAAATCTCTCTGGTTATTTAAACGTTTTGCAGAGGAATCTAAATATGTCAAAATTCAACCCCAATGTTACTAAAAAACATTGAGCTATCCTTACCATAAAACGCATCCCTCCAGCCTTGGCGAGGTTCAGTTCAACACCCAAAAGTTCTCCATCTGCTGTGATGGGATATCCTCCAAATACTAGACMTCCCTCTATAGGGGTCGCTGTATCTATGGTGTTGCTGTGAGGATCTTCACCAAGTTCATAGTAGTTCACGTCTACAAAATGGATGAGACGGTTCAATATGCGATTCCACCAATCAAAAGGTCTTTGGGGCAGAACTGATTACTAAGYAATACAGCTTGCAACTCGTAGTTTTAAATGCCCATAAAGATCTCCCGCTAATATATTTTATATATAACCTATAACCTTAGAAAGGACAATTTGTTCAAAAAATCACAAGTGATTCCCTAGAGATATATACCTAGATAGGTGTGAAAACCATAAGAGTTTCGCTTTACCTGGTAAGCTATGAGTCAGTATTTCATCGTCATAGTCCACCATAAGWGACATGTTACTGCCTCGCGTCATAGTCACGTGACATGTCATATTCAGACCCAGTGCTGCATGTGAAGGGCAAGTCAGCCTGTACTTCAGAGGAATATCTTCTACAGTTAATRGACTTGATATCATTGAATAGTCGTTAAAATGATTGGAGACATGTACAGTGACGTTAAAGATTCCAGTATACTTGTATCTGAAAACGAAACATCATCTTTATTAGAAGATCACTAATCCATGTGGGAATGATTTAAGAGCAAGTTAATTTCATCTTTAATATCTAGGTTTAATAAAACGAAACTAGTTTTACAGACAAGATACAAGCTAATTTCGCTTCAAGACCAAACATAGAGTGGTGAAATCAAGGTGAAATTAATAAAAGTCGTGCGAGGGCAAAATACTTATAATACCAAAGATTTAAGAGCATGCAATCAATATTAAAGTCGATATCATTCTATATCAAATAACTTAAATTAGAATCAATTCATTGCACACATTATTGCGATAACGACAAWATTACAAAACGATGAACATTACCTATATGAAACTCCACCAGAGCACGTCTCTCCAAAATACCCATCACCAAGATTATAAGCAATCGTAACCTTTCCCTGATTGGTTGAATTGGACGTCAGTCTAATCACAAACACGTCAGTAAGGTTAATCTTTTCTGGTATTATCACTGTTGGTTTTAAGCGTTGAAAAACCGTGTAGACACTGCCTATTCTTGTGTTTCCRGAGAGCGAGTTACAACTGGACAGTGGAAGAGGAGAGTTGAAATTTTTCGCGTTGAGCTTGTTGCAAACACACGTAACAGAGTTGATGACAAACGCCGACATGTACCCCTGAAGTAGAGCACAACGTTTGAGGCATTGGTCTAAGTTAACTGCTTGGTTCATTGGTAGACCACTCAATGCATGGTTTTCCCCATACATGTAATCATTGATAGCATAGCAGCCTTGAAAATGTAATGTCGACGCTGGGACAGAAGAAAATTATAGTTAGTAATACAAAGACGAAGGCAGTGGTTCGACTATCAATCTATCCGATATATTTAGTAGTGAATCAAATATGAGAATATAATTTCATAAGAAAATCAGYCATGAAAAACATGTCATAAAATAATCCAGAAACTTACGCTTGGTTGATGCTATATGCGAAGTGTTTGTACCTGTAAGAAAAACAGAAAATACTGAATGGAAGGGATTATCAGATGAATAGATAGAATGGATGAATAAACGAATGATAGGATGAAAGGAATGAAGAGATGTATGCCGAATAAAAGAATCAATGGAATAGTTATGAGCATAAATTAATCTCGAATGGCGAATAAATAAATAAATAATGATTCATAATACTTTGAATTCCATAAACTTACAAAATCTGCATTAAAATCAATAAAAAACAAAACAAAAACCATCAAACCTGGTGAACCTGATACGAACACGTCGATGCTTGCATTTAGTCTGAACAGAGCGGAATCAGTGTTGAAAGTAATCTTGACAAACTTCCCGACTAATTTCTTGGTTACACAGCTGTTTAGTTTGTAAGGATTTATAGTCATAGATAGCACCTGAGAAAGATTAAACACATTGTATTGAAGAAGGCTTTGTTTAGTCAGTCTGGTTCAAAATCATTTGAGACAGAAAAGATCCTTAAAGTTCCTCGAGAAGACATTTAAAATCTATACTTTCTATATATTTATTTATTTATTTATTTATCTATATACCCGTCCCGTCTCACCGTCTATGTTCTATGTTGGTATGTATACTTAGTGTCAAATGGTGAATGCTTACCTTCCCATCATGCATCGCAGGATTCCAGTTCCAACCATCGTTACTCAGGCTAATTGTGTAGGTAACGTTTGAAGACGTTTCGTTAAACATTACCGTAATACGTGAGATAGCCTTCATACTATGCAGGTTGATTATTGCAGATCTTTCATAAATCTCGACCGTGTACGTATGACCAGGGTAACTACTTTGCTGCGGTGACATCGATGAACAAGCTGCTGAAATACAACATAAGCCATAACGTTCACTGATTCAGCTGATATCATATCGGACATTCCGAAAACTGTCCTGGTAAAATACAACATCAGAGAGTCAAATAGAACAAGCTGCTGAAATACAACACGAGCCATAACGTTCACTGATTCAGCTGATATCATATCGGACATTCCGAAAACTGTCCTGGTAAAATACAACATCAGAGAGTCAAATAGAACAAGCTGCTGAAATACAACACGAGCCATAACGTTCATAGATTCAACTGATATCATATCGGACATTCAGAAACTGTCCTGGTAAGTACGACATCAGAGCGTCAAATAGGTATAGCTTCAATACGTCACAACAAACCGACATAATGTCATATTCAACATGAGAGTGTTATGACGTCATACAACCAACGATCTGTAAGATGAACCCTAGTCCATTATTCACTGGGGTAAGTCTTACCATTAGAGCAGGGCATCATATCGAGGTGTATATGATCTATGGAGTCATGGTCTATAGGTGCATACTCAGGCCCACACGGTAAATCATCCTGACACAGAGCATTGGGTTCTAGTTTAGAGATGGTTTTGTGCCAAAGGCCAACACCGTAGTACAATKGACTGCCARACTTGCTTTGGCATAGATGGATGGAAAAGTCTAGCAAAAACATATAAAGCAAGCAATTATTGGAATATGTAATGTAATGTCTACTATGGGGAAATTGGTTTCAGTCTATTATGTAAATTATAGATATGGCATGTGTATAGCACTAATGTAAGACTTGCTCAAGCAAGTGGCGGAGCGTCGTCTTGTRCATGTATGTATTGTATAAGGATTAGTRYTCATCAAATATATTGCTGCATTTCTCTGTGTTTCGCGTTAATGAAATGGTCAGAGCAAAGCGTAGACTTTTCGACTACTGAGGATATTGAATTGTAGTCATACTTGCTAACTTTAAAAAGAAAGAGGAACGAAAACACTTAAACTAATTGAAATTAGTACATGGAAGTACGAGAATCCAGTTATTAGGGTCAGGCTATTCCGATCATACTTTTAATGGCGATTTTTCATATCCTTCATGGACACTAAGCAWTCATAAAAAGTAAAAGTGATAGAACTGCCTCAGAAGCTAAGTTTTCTGAAAGATCTTCTCTCAGCATCTTATGTCGCATTTCATACTCACAGATCACAGATATTGATTTCAAATGATTTTTTTTACTTGCCTGTATATCCCAGCACTGTTGTGGACAACTGAAAACAAAAACAAATTCATGAATGACTGAAAACGAAACACATTTTGAGAAAAGAAGCATCAAAAGCAGTGTTGTTAAAAGTGCAGGTGTTTTTACGTACATATAGAAACATCCATATCARTACTGGACACCGATTCATAGCTGCACTAGTCACTCATGAGTCTTGTACAGAAGACCAGAAGTTCAGTGTTAATCTAATGTAATTGGGATCAGCGGCGAGKGRTGAAAGTTTTAAAATCTTTTTCTGTGTTTCTATTAATTTAGTAGAATCGAGTTAAGCAATTAAAATGTGATTGGATATAGTTGGATATAGACATCAATGGTTGTTAGTATCATTACCAAGCAATTCACCAGTCGTCATAACGATGATAAAAAATTAATTTTGCAACCTCTTTGTTTAAGAAAAACTGCATTATATCCTGACTTGATCTATCATTGTAAAGCACTGAATAAATGATTAAAAACCGCTCCACAATCAATGAAACTCCGTTCAATTTAACTGTCGTGTTTAGAGATTTCATAGAAATTCAATGAATAGAATCTATTTTATAACCAGATGGAATTGTGAGTTTATAAAGACAAAAATCCTATAGTCATCTAAGCATGGATTTTAACTATTAACTTATTTATTCATAGTCTTTGTTTCATTATGTAACAAATACCGGTGGTCACTATTCAAGAAATCATTAGTTGTAAAGGAAACTACGTCACGACTCGTCAAGAATAATCTAGGACGTCGACGTCGGAATTGCTTAAAAGAGTTTTTCATTAACGTGACCTAGTGTTGCACAGCTCGTTTCTCTTTTTTATTACCTTTTTTCCTTAAAAAGGATACTGCGTGAAAATTACGTAATACGATGCGGTTACGCACCGCACGCGATATAAAATATATTTATATTGAAATATAGATATACTAGATATACATGTAAACTTTTTARGGATTTTTAAAAATATAAATTTGACTCTGAAGATATGATAACTCGAGACTGAAAAATGAAAAAAAGTCCTTTTTTCACTCATACATTTCTGTGGCCCACAGAAAAAGGTCCGATCCAAGGTCATTGCATGCACAGAAACCGAATTTAAGGTGCCCATTTTTTATGAAAAAATTAATACATACCATCAATATGACAATTCAACTGAGAATATGATAACCTAATCTTGAATGCAGCAACAATTGTATCTTATTTTATCTATTTATACTTTTTCATTCTATCCCAGAGCCCTGTGCGAGAGTAGGCTAGTCAGTCTATAGTTATGAATATGAGAGAGTAGGCTAATCAGTCTATAGTTATGAATATGAGAGAGTAGGCTAATCAGTCTATAGTTAATTCGGGTAGGGGTAAATCAGGGGAATTAAAATAGGTGTAAATTGAGTCAATACACGGCGTACACTAGTTGCGGTTTCGATTGTCTCGAGAAAAGGTGCTAAACTTCGTGTAATCAATTGCGCACATGTTTGTAAGGTTGCTGTGGACTTAGAGAGCATAAATTTGAATTCCTCTGTTGCAGCATGGCTAGCGATACATTCAACCCCCTATGAATTGAACCTACTCGCACAAAACGAAAGAAAGAACACACTTAGTTAAACAACTAACAAAAACTGCAGCTGCTACGTGCATATATCACCGACGTCACAACCGGTCCGGGTTAATATGTTACTAGGGTCAAAGAAGCACCACATTTCTACATCACCACAGACAAGAAGYAACGAGCGCTTCCTTGATTTTATCTCTTCGTTTAGCGAGATGGAGGACGACACCAACAAAGAGGAGAGTCAGCAAGATAATAAAAAGACGGAAGACAATGGAATTGTTAATGAAAGCTATGGTAAGGTAGATTTTTTGATGTTTTGCCTTTTTTCCCGCTGTGTAAACAAATCTTACATTGAGMATAATTTATGTATTCAGACGTTAACATATAGACAAATGTAATGTGCAAAATGAACAAGATTTGTGACATGTCGAGTATGGAGACCACTTCGTCTTGTTCTGTCTTGTTATAAACACTTCTTGTTTTCTGTTGATATGCATAATTAGCAATGACGTCAATATGACAGCATAATTATGTTTAKTGAAAACTATCGACCATATTGGCCTTAGTGATGAAGAACAACTAAAGTCGTCTATTGGGAATAACAACTTCCATAACACCTTCAATTATAAAGAAAGGTATTATACGAAGTGTTAGAATTATACACTCTTGGGATTCAGATCAAACTAATTGTCACGCAATGTTTCCAGTGMTTTCTATGAAATCATAAAAGTGTTTCAATTTGATGTTGACAATCGACAGTAAGGTAGAGTGTATGTTTTACATTTAATTTTGCCTGGATCCTTGATAATATTCCTAGAGTATGTATTAGTTGGTTAGCAACCAGTACATGTATTTATAGTTACGGATTATAGTGTAYTATTTGTACAGATGATATTATCTTAAACATAGTAACGACACAACATCTATATATCATACTATATTTAATATAAAACTCTTAAAACTCTTCTTAAATGACAAGTTCACATTTCTTCGTCTTTCTTTCTATTTTGTTTCATTTCTAAGCAACTAAATCTTTTATAAAAGCAATTTCTTTCTCTTATGACGTTTATATAAGTAAGTCATGCATAAAATTGTGAAATTTGTAAAATTTTATCATGACGGGCATAGAGTTTGAATAGTTTTTTTTCCATTCTTTGATGTGAAATACAATGTTCAACTCAATTYAAATGTTTAATGCATATTCAACAGTCAGCCATAAATACTTTATTGAATTTATTATAAGTAGCAGTTATCATAGAATATACACAGAAATAATACAGCCTTTTGCAAAAATTATGAGAATTGTCTAAATATCTAAATATCATAATATCCATATCCATATATTGTCCGGAACACGCGGGTTTGCTAGAATAATTCATTGTTGACATCGAGAATATGTTCAGAACTAAGGATAAGTTTGTCGCCAAAAAAAAACTAAACTACAAAGACAAGGGACTAAGGGCATCGCGCGGGATCATGCACTTGATATTATGATATTTAGATATTTCAACAATTCTCATAATTTTTGCAAAAGGCTGTATACTGTAGATGTTGTCTAGTATGTAAATATAACTGTATAATGAATAACTTATGATGTCCTACGGTTGTAAGATAAAATGTTAACTAAGCCATATATTTATTTGGTGTAAAAACTGTAACTTCTACATGAGAGATGAATAGCAGGTGTCACAAAACTAGAATTATTGCAGATGAAAAGATAAGGATATGGCTGTACTCAATGATTTTTACTCAAATTAATAATTAACTGATGCAAGATTAATTTTACACACTTTCAGCATACAAAAGTTATTATTTTTTTAGTATAAACTAATAAAATAAGAATTATATACATCAACAACACTTTTCAATCAACAGCACCGTAAAATAGGAATTTAACTTGAACTGAAAACCTTATTATCAATAGTTCCTGATTTACCGCCCAAGAAATCCAATATGAGTGCATCAGCATCACATATCAGCAATGAAAGGCCTCAAGACAATCAGTCATCGTATAGTGATGATACTGAAAGTTATGTCAGCAATATTGATCTAGATGYTTCAATGCCAAGCCATGCATTCAGAGAAGTACGAGGATTACCTTCAAATAATGTTCTTAAGCAAAATATGAGAAAGACACTCAAAGAAAGGAGACCAAAGTCTCGTGGAAAACTTGAAACTGATGAATTTAGTGTTAATAATGAAGCTGTGGTGAACAATGAAGAACAGGTTTTTCACGGAGTTGATCTTTCTCCTGATGAGTATTCTGATCTCATGGGACGGCAGAGAGATATTAAAGACATGCCGACGTCAATCAAACGCAAGCGAACAATAAAGTGAGTATTAGCCTAATAAAACTGTTACCAATTGAGTTTCTTGCAATAAGTTTTCCATTTAGTGAGTACATTGTACAGGAATGATTTGCTGGTTCTTWTATTTGAACTTAAGTGTGATTAGTAATTGAATTTTCTTTAGATGTAACAACATGAAAAGCAYCTTATATATTCCAAGTATTATTTGTATGTGCACAAATTCTGATTACATTTTCTACTTTCTTGTAGGAATAATATGGAAGTCAATGCTAAAAAGAAAGGCAAAATTAAACACATTAGTGCATGGAAACATTTCAAATTGACGTTTGCCATGGTAAATGCAATCTCRTCAGTCTCTGAATAATATGCAATAATATCACCTTAATAAGATAATTGTTTTTAATAGGGTTGGCAACACTTCAAAGATGCAAGCAGTGAATTACTGTATGTTATGGACTTGTGGAGAGGTCACTTGAAAATCATTCAAGGTAAGTTGAATTGAGTTGAACTATACTTGTGTTTATTTGTAAAAAATAATTCAAATGTATCTACACTGTATTTTTGTCCAGGGATATTTGGATCTGGTGTGTTATCCTACTTCATTCTGCTACGATGGCTCTTTCTCATCAATTTAGTTGCCTTCTTCAGTACTATTTTCTTTCTATTCATTCCTCAAATGGTTTATGATGCAAGTTACAAAAGCAATAATGCTAGTTTTGAAGGCTGGGAGCTTCTTACAGGAGATGTAAGTATTATTGAACATGAGACAAACCGAAAACTCCAATGAAAAACAAATTTGAAGATGGTATAATTTCATAAAACACTATATTATAGTGTAGTATATATTGAAAAAACAGTGAAATATATTGTAAATAAAAGGCAAACAAATCAGACAACAATCAAGGCTCTTCAGTTAGTAAACTATGATTGATAAAGTACACATGCATGTCTCTTCATTTATATAATAACAATATTGTTATCATCAACTATGAACGTCTACTATCATAATCATCATTGATTGAACGGAATTGTTTTGCAGAATGCAAAACAGAACAATATTAAATTTATARATCAATGAAATCCATTTGAATTGTTTATAGGGCTATTTTACCAATACTGAGATGTATTATGGTGGATATACTGATAAAGCTATTCCTATGGGCAGTGGCTTGGTCTATAAAATGCCACTAGCCTATTTATGTGTAGGTGGTGGCTACCTTCTCCTCTGTCTGGCAATTATGGTCTTCAGGTATTTCATTATTTTTGTAGAGGTGCCTCTGTAATATTATTTCTTTACAAAATGATTAYTTGTAGTCTGTTAGCATTGTTCAAGTAATGGAATTAATTAAGCCAGATTGTTTTGATTATAGTATGGCTGAATCGTACCGTGAGAACTACATCTATACTGGTGATGATTTCAGTTTTTATGTTGCTAAAGTGTTCTGTGCRTGGGATTATGGCATAACTGATGAAGAATCAGCTACTCTTAAGCAGAAAAGTATATCCAATGACCTCAAGGTAATAT